CGGCGCTTTCGGTTCCTCTTTTCCCCGCTAGCTACCGCCGGTGGATTCCGCGTGGTCCGGTTGCGAGCTTCCCTGCAGCCCCGTGCTTCCCTGAAGCCTCGTGCTGACCGAACCTGACACAGCCAACCACTTCTGTACTGTCGCTAAGAAAATGCCACGGGTGTGTCTGTGAACTTCCCAGGAGCTAAACTCCAGCCATCCACCCACCCAGAATTCTGTCCTGGTTCTCCTGAGCTTCTAACGCGGGGGCTTTCAGGACGGGGCACAGCCACTAACTGCCGCGCTCTTGCTTCGCAGTCCTCGACCTGCTGGAGGCGCTCAACATCAGCCGCTCCGTGCCAGGCGTCACCAAGGCCAAGGGCCCCAATCCGGGAATCCCGGCCTGGAAGTTCCGCCGGCGGGTGCCCCCGCTCACCCTGCCCTGGGATTACTCCGTCTACCTGCTGTCCACGGTGCAGGCTGCCCTGGGGTTCCACTTCGTGGCCCGCCAGAACCCTGGCTCGCAGGGGACCCTCATCTCCCTGGCCTCCCCGGCGGCCACCAAGCGGGACGGGCGGCCCCTCTTGCAGCTGGTGTCCAGCACCCGGGAGGACCAGCTCCGGCTGGAGTACCGGGCCATGCATAACACGGAGCCCGCCTCGCTGGTCTTCCCTGGAGGCACCCCCTTCTCCCAGGGCCGCTGGGTGCAGCTGGCCCTGCACCTGGAGCCCCAGCGCGTCTCCCTCTTTGTGGACTGCCAAGAGCCCTTCGTCTTCGAGAAGAGCAGTGGGGAGGGCCTCCTGCGCCTCGCCCTGCCCCTCGATCTGCAGATCACCTTTGCCAGTTTGGCTGGAGACGAGGCCAGCAAGTTCCTGGTAAGTGCGGCCAGGGTGCCTGCAGCTTCCAGGGAGCTCCTGAACCCCGTTTGGGTGCCTGCCTGGCCTCAGCCCCCATCCTCAGTCTGCTGAACTAGGGTTCACTCGCGCCACGGGCCAGGCTGGGTTGGTTCCAGATTTGCTTGGTTTCTTTCGGTGGCTCAGCCTGCACGCCTGATGAGGCTGTGTAAAACTCCCATGTTTTTAACGGGCATTTTGGACATTTATTTTTAAGCCAGGGGAAGCAATCCAAAAAGGCGAGAAATTGTGCCCCACAAGCAAGCATTCATACAGGGACAGGCCAGCTATGGGGGGGGCAGGGTTGGGGGGCTATGGGTTGCAGGGACGTGAGAAGGCTGGGCACCACTTACCCCACTGCAAGCTGCTTGGAGTGTTACAGATATGGCAAAGGGCAGGGTTGGCATCTCCCTTTCCCAGCTACAGCCCCCTCCCCATGTTTATGGCTATGATGCATTTTTCGGCAGGGCTCCTGGCAGACGGCTGAGATCTCACCCCATGGCTTTCCCCACCGCCCCTGGCACTGTGAGAATCTGCCAGGTAAGAATCTCAATCCAAATTGCACGTCCCCATGCCCAGGGCTGGTGCAGCTAGATAGGTAGTTACAGCATCATTGCAGTCCTGCAAGCCCTCTAACCGTGCCACCCACTGTCCTTGAGCTGTGCTTTGGAGCAGGGGAGGGTCGTCCAGACTGGACCGAGTTGGAGGGAGGAGCTGAAGAGACAAGGATCAAAGCAATCCCGAGTGGGAAAAGTTTTCTTCCGGTCAGCCCCCTGACATCTGTGCTGCGGGCCAGATGTTCCCCGTCACGGGCGGGTAAGAGCCGTGGGCCTTGGCTGGGCTCCAGCCAGACAGGAGGCAGCAGCTGTTGAGCGCAGGCTGGATCCTGCCCCCCAGGAGCCCCGTTGGTGCCAGGGTGCCAGGGAGGGGAGGAGAAAGGGAGCCCTCTGGAATGGACGCTCCAACGTAGCACTTTCGGCTGGTCCGGTTCTGAGCCACGTTTGAGAGATTTTGCTTCGGGTGAAGCTGCTGACTGGATGTGAAATGATCCCGTTGTGGCAAGAGACAGGAGGGTCTTTCTGGAGTCTGTTGCGCAGAATCCGTGTTCAGGGAATCTCGTGTCTTGCCCACTCCCGAATTTCTTTCTTAGTCCCGGGTTGTGTAGGTACATTTCCCTATCTATCTATCTATCTATCTATCTATCTATCTATCTATCTATCTATCTATTAAAGAGGCTTTCAACAGAATAAAATCAGTACAAATTTTAAGTTGAAAGTAAGAAGAATAATGTAATAAGTAAATGAAGAGAAAGGAAAGGAAAGGAAAGGAAAGGAAAGGAAAGGAAAGGAAAGGAAAGGAAAGGAAAGGAAAGGAAAGGAAAGGAAAGG